ATTTTCCCTGTCTCTTTCCATGTATATTTCCACGACTAACTATACTATATATATAGCAATTGATTTCTTGTAATAAATCGTCAACATGTCGACATCTAACTGGATAGTGTTAAGTGTAGTAAATTCACTGGATGATGTTAAAGCTGTTGCTAAATCACATGGTGTTTGTCAGTATCGAACAAATGATCTTAAGGATCATACAAAAATATTCATTTAAATGTGGTCAATATCGTAAATATCCATTATGTCGTTATGAACTCAAGGCAACTGTACCAGATGATGATCCAAAGTCGATTACGGTAATGTTCAAAGATGCTCACAACCATGACGATCGAAACCAAACGTCTCGTGTACCATCTCCAGTACGGCAATCTGTTTCAAAATATGTTGGTATTGGTTTAACTGAAGCTCAAATTCGTTTGTCAGTTTCAATTGATCATCCATCCACACCAGTATTGATTGTATATTGTACTCTGTTCATAAATAAAAATTTGGAAAATTTGGTGATCAAAAGTATCTTTTTTTGGTGATCATTTGTATCTAAAAGCTTTTGGTGATCAAAAGTATCTTTTTTTGGTGATCAAAATAATTGATACCCTTTGTTTTTTTCCTTTCCTCTTCTTACAGTGAACGGCTGCTATAATCTTAACTACACGAGACTTCAACTGGACTACTATTTAGTATATCGATATCGACACTGCTCTATAAGATGATGCTCTTAGTTTTTTCCAAAAACACTTTTCTTCTTTGGCCAAGCAAGTAGACAATTACATGGATCAGCCGTAATAGTACTCACATTAATCTAATCGATCATAAACGAGTTTTTTTATTAGCTAACAACCAACACCCTGTCTACTTATGTAGAAAGGACATTGGTTTCGGTTATTAACCGAAAACCGAACATCGTTTTCGGTTATTCTCGATCATAACCGATGCTCCGTTTCGGTTATTTCAGTTTCGGTTTAACCGAAACATCGCTAAGTCGAACTGATGCATACCTAGAAAAGACAGGAAGCGGTTTCTGTAAGAAAATGACCCGATAAGATTTTGAGCGAAAATGATGGAAATATGTCTTCACTTCCCAACACTGCCCACGCTCAAAAAGTGATCTTAGCCTCCTTGAGAATAAACTTTCTTCCCATTTTTCGTCACTATTTGAACAGTGGTCACTCACTTTGTTCTTCAAAGTTTCCACATGATTTCAGAATCATTTGGCATGAATTCATGTAGAAAAAGATAGAAAATTCTCGCTACAAAATGAGTTATAAATAAGCTTTCTAAAACAATGCTCATATAGGTCAGTTGTCTAAATACTAGAGAAATATCATCATTTTCATCTGCATTACGGGACGCATAAATGATTTGTTTTAGGTATTCCTCCTCAACCATGAAAGGAAGAAAAAATCAGAAAAGCTCTGAATAGCGGAAAGAGCTTCCAATCTAATGTGGTGTATGTGAAGGTTCTATCAAAATTTCTAAAGCCAGGATCTCTGGAAAACCAAAATGTCAGAAAACTATGTTCCGGAATGTGGTCAAGAAATTCTTTGTAAATAATGCAGTCGTGTAGAGCATATATTTCTGAACAAAACGAGACATCGTCACCCTCTGTGCGATACTTTTCATGAAATAGCACTCAATTTACAAAATGTCGCGTACCAGCAACATTAACGGCCGAACAATAAACACATTCCCTGAGGCCTTTTTATAAACTGAATGCTGTTTCACGAAAAAATGTCGCTCAGAGGTCAGCGACGTCTCCTTTCGCAGCACAAAAAATTCTCTATCTTTCTATATAAAAAATATTCCGGTTTTGAGCAGATGCATAGAAGAAAAAATCAAAAATAAATTGTTTTCTGTAAATGGATGAGTGAAAAACCTTGCTTTTCTAAAATCCCTACTTCCGACACTTAAAAAACTATTTCGAGATAGTCACCGGACAGAACATCGCTCAAAACCCTTACGTACTTAAATTTATCAAAACCGCTCGGCACTTCATACTGTAAAAATTGAAACGTACTCATGTTACGGACCTGTTTAGTAAAAAGATAGAGAAAGATGACTTCGTTAATTTAGAAGCCTCTGATTTAGCGTTAAGGTGAATAAAATTCCTTAAGGCTACGGCACTCCGAACCACTCCAAGCCACTCCAGGCAATGTGAAATTTTATCGATTGAAATAAATATACATGAACAGCTTTTTGGGAACTTACTCACCTACAACTGCAAAAAATAATTTTATCGGTTTTACAAAGGTACTTCTTACTGATTTTTGATAAACTTTGGTAAGAACGAAATTCTCTGTCCAAATTCATCAAAAGCTTCGAAAATAAAAGCAGTTTTTTTGAGTTAGCACAGTCATGACTGTGAAAATTTTGTTGTAAAAATTGTTTGGTATTTTTTCTAAAATACCAAACAATGACAAAAGAAGAAGAGAGGAAAAAACCATAATAACACATTAGAATGCGCGTTCTAGTGTTCGTAGAACTGTCTCTTCACGCCAAACCGTCCTTTAACAAAAGGACTAAAGATAGTTCTACATATCAATAAATATTCAATTTGAATTTCACATCATTAATACTCTTTCCATCAGCTGAATGTGTCAGCAGACTTTCTTTGATCATTCTTCTTTTCCAATTGGTTTCATGTGCCACACTAATTGCATTGTTAAAATCCATAACGTGTTTCTTTCCATGGACATGTTGAACAATTTTTGAATTTGATGCGTAGCTGCGCACATCATAACGGTGTTCCTCAATACGAATGTTAATGTCTCTCGATGTTTCTCCAAAATATTTAAAATCACAGTTTGTGCAAGGAATAGAATAGACAATATTCTTCATTTTTTTACTTTCATCTAATCCCTTTTGTATTGGTAAAAATATACCTTTCAATGTCAGTGTTTTTTTATATGCAATTTTCAAATCCACTGTTGGAATCATTTGTTTGCATAGCTTCTTGATTCTTTGTCCCAATACAAACGTTTCTTCTCCAAAATATGGTAATGTGAAGAATATATTCCTTAACTTTGATTGTGATTTTATAACTTTTCTATGTTTAGGATTTTCTAAGCGTTTTGCAATGACCTTCCCCTCAAGAATCGTTTTTCGAATAATATGTGATGGATAACCATTATCACCCAATGTATCTGTTAGCCGTTTCACTTGTGTTTCAATCAGTTGTAGTGTTGAACAGATCCGAAGAATAAGTACTGTCAACGTTTTGATAAGACCTAGCTTGTACCTTCGACATTGATTGGATTCATATAATAAATATAACCCGGTGTCAGTAGGCTTCTTGTACAACGTTGTGTCATATGTTCTATCATTACTATTTCTCATGATCGTAACATCAAGATACGGCAATTGTCCATTATTTTCAACTTTCACAGTAAAGTGAATATTTCGATGCCATTGATTAATGGTGTTTAGAAATGCTTCATAATTCTGTTTTTTTGAAAATACACAGAATACATCGTCGACATATCTGAAATACAATTGTGGTTTGTTGAACGATAATTTATTTAATTTTTGTTCCAATGTAATCATAAATACGTCAGCCAAGATAGGAGCTAAACAGCTGCCCATGGCAACACCATCCTTCTGTTTGTATAACTCTGCTTGAAATCTGAAAGGAACATCACATATCGCTAATTTTAATAATTCTTTCATCTCATCTCTGCAATATGGAGTATCATTGGGTTTAATACCATCAACATAAATCAGATTCAATACAGTTTCGATGGCTTCGTACACAGGAATGTTTGTGTATAACGATTCAATGTCAAAACTTATCATAATTTGACCATCCTCACAATCTATATTTTTGATTCTTTCGACGAATTGAAATGAGTCTTTGACAAATGATGGAGGTGGAGTACGATATCTTTGAATAAGTTGTGCCAAGTGTCTTGACAATTCATAATTGTACGAACCGATGGGCGAAATAATAGGTCTTAACGGATAACCATTACGATGTACTTTCGGCTGACCGTACATAACACTAAGTGAAGCACTGGTGGATCGAAGTCTATAATATAATGGTTGTTCAATTATACTTTTGAGATATAAAGAACGTAAGTATTGATTCATTTTCGTTTCATTTTCTTTCAGTACACTTAATCCATTGACTGCTGGCATTGTAACGAATTGCTTTAATTTCAATACTTCATGTGATTTGTTTAGATAATCATTCATATCCATCACCACTATACACCCTTGTCCACCTTACAAATTACAATCTTTTTATTATCTTTTAATGATTTGATGGCGCTGTATTCATCATCACTAATGTTGAGAATAGATTTTCGTTTAGATATTTTCATCATTTGTTGTGAATAGGAATATAAACTGCGACATACATCTTTGAAGATAGAGTTTTTATTTTCCTTTTGTCATTCACTCTTGAAAATGATCTAAGTTGTGATCGAAAGCACGAGTGTTTAAATAAATTCAGAAGAATTTTATTATGATTTTCATCGCAGTATTATACTTTATATTTAAAACTTTATTTCCAACTGCTCATTCAAATAATATAAGCTTTATTATATTCTGGTTTGCCTATTAAAATGAATCGTTTGAAATGTGAAGATATTTTCTCAATTATTGATAAAAATGAAAAATTATCGAAATTACCAGATTCAATTCTTGGAAATACGATATATTGCTTAAAATTAAATGCTGATAGTAAAAGTAAGGAATATAAACGATGAATTGCTTAGTACTTTTATCATGTTTGCTTGAATCCTTATTCTAGACGCGTGGAAAGCTGATAAATTGAAATGGGATCAATATTCAACTGCAGATATGAAGGGAAAATTTACGTGTCGATATTATTCATCAGCACAAAAATCAGCGACAAAATTAGAATCGGATCAAAAATTAACAAAAAAAGTATACACACTGGAAACCGATCCGTTAACAATTATTGTTCAGTACTTAGGTAATTATATCCATAACTTTATCTTATCACACTTTTTCTATGATTTTCCTTTTTCCTTTTAGGTGATGTAAAATTAGGAGTACCATCAAATCATCGGCGGGCCGGCCATATGGCGAGGTGTGACAACTGCCACTCCTGGCGAAATTTTGGGGTGGCAATAAGGCTTTATTGGCACCAGCGCTAACAGCTGGCTCGAATAGTATGGAATCTTCGGAAAGCATGGACTTGTTTTTAATTGGTTAGAAATCTTGGCTATATAAAAGGCTGAGTTCTTCTCTGCGACTTGCTCGTGCACATCTCATTCATTCATTAATCTCGAATCTCATCAGTTGGCTTGTCACAAGAAATGTCTCGGAAAGGCATACTCGACTTCTTCTTCTCGAAACAAAAGATCGGTGCTCTCTCTGACCAGAATGTTAACGGAGTCTCAACTGAATCAACTTCGGGTGAAGATTCATGTCATAGAACGTCCACGTCAGATATCTTAACAATGGATTCATCCGAACCTTCGTCGTCAATGACAACAGTTATCAGTCTAGATGAGAATGAAGTGACAACAGCACAACATTCATGAAGTGCTTCTGATACGGAAGGTATCGAACCTTTCAAACGTGATCCGTGTCGTGGACCGATGTTCGCGAAAGAATTCATCTTACTCGGACCGCATCAGTTCAAATGTCACTATCCTACCATCGAACGGCGTCATTTTCGCTACGATTGGTTTGGAATCTACAAGTGGCTCGAGTATAGCGAAGCCAATGGCAAAGCTTATTGCTTCATCTGCCGATTCTTTTATAATCCCATTAAATCTGACAAGGCGTTCACAGTCGATGGTTTCGGATGCTGGAAAAATGCTATCAGCAAATTTAATAAGCATCGACTCTTTCACACAAGCAGGCTTGTGAGACTTGGTCAAATGCAAGGAGAAATGGTTTGAATGATGAAAGTGTTCTGAATCAAATTGATCATCGGTCTGACAAGCAATGTGAAGAGAATCGTCTCTATTTGGTAGAAAGTATCCGAACGTTTGTATTCCTTGCGAAACAAGGCCTGGCTCTTCGTGGTCATCGAGAGGATGACGAGTCCAGTAACCGAGGAAATTTTCTCGAACTGCTTGAATTACGGTGCATTGACAATGCGCTCATCAGAAGAAATATCTGTTCATTGAAATTCACTGATCATGAAATCCAAAACGAATTGTTACTTTTAATTCAAGCAAACATCACCAATCAGATCGTACGCGAGCTTGAAAAATCGAAATATTTCTCCGTTATGATCGATGAGACGTCGGACATCTCGCGACACGAGCAAGTCTCGTTGGTCATTCGCTACACTGACGATCTATTCAATGTGTTCGAACGATTTATTGGATTTGAACGAACGGTTAGCACATCTGGTGAAAGTTTATTCAATCTATTGATTTCATGGGTCAAACAGCTTGGTTTGAATGTGCGGAATATCGTTGGACAATGCTACGACGGGGCAAGCTCGATGCGTGGTGAATGCAAGGGCGTTGCAGCCCGATTGAAGCAGTTGTCATCGAAAGGTATATATTCATCTCAGAACTGAAGCATCGGGTTCAGGAAAGTGTTCGTTCGAGTCTGTGTCTTCATAGGTTGGAAGTGAAAATATTCGGGTTAATCACAAGAACTCCCTTGTGACTTCTCAATGTACATACGAAACTCTTGACATTTTGCTGACATGCGTAGTGTTTTGCTTGTTGTGTCACTTAGTGGAGAAGATCTATATCGAAAAGACTGTATAGATCCACGCAATCGTTGGACGTGCATGATCTGCTTGATTTCTCTTCGCGAAAAGCTAGGAGAAGAGAGGATGGTGACGAAGAACTCCTTCTGAG